AAAAAATTTTTTTTTTTTTTTTTTTTTTGGTACGTTCTTCTAATTCTTTCTACAACAACAAAGTATAACTAAGGTACATATTGTGTAACTTATGTGCATAATGAATTTTTCTATTTTAGCTTAACAACAATTTTCCTAGTAATTTTAACTATTATTATTGGTAATTTTAATAAAATAAAAATTTGCTCTATAGGTACCTGAGAGGATCAAAGCAATGAACTCTAGTGTCAAGCTATTGCTTATACTTAGAGAACCAGTAATAAGAGCTATATCAGATTATACTCAATTACATAGCAACCCAATGGCTAACAAAAGCAGCAAGTCTTTTGAACAGTTGGTAATTCGTTCAGATGGCACAGTTAATATCAACTATCGGCCGATCTCTGTTTCCACGTATCACAACCATATCTATAGATGGCTTGACGTGTTCCCCAGGGAACAATTATTCGTTGTTAACGGCGATCGATTAATTACCAATCCCGTGTCGGAACTGAGACGTATCGAGTCATTTTTGGGTCTTGATCATCGTATAGGTGCTGAGCACTTTTACTTTAACCGGACGAAAGGGTTTTATTGCTTAAGATACCAATCAGGAGATAAATGTTTAAAAGAAACAAAGGGAAGGAAACATCCAGACGTGCATCCCTTGGTTATATCCAAACTCAGAGAGCATTTCAGCCAACATAATCAAAAACTCTACGATGTGTTGGGTCAAGATTTTGGTTGGCCTGAAAAATAATGACGATTTGTTCAATGAATGTGTTCTGTAATATCATTCATTGTCATACCAAATATTTTCATACAGGGAGTTACATATTTATACTAAATATGACTTAACGAAACATATCTTAGAGTTACACAGTTGTAATGAGCCCTTTTTTTATATTTAGCCATTTAAGTCGTTTTAATTAGGTTGAGGGATTTTAAATGTCATTTCCCAGTCTAACAACTTACAATTTTATATTGTTCTAAAGTATTCATTTTTAAAATTGTTATTCGCACAACTTTTTATAATATATATTTGATTTAAAAATAATAATTATTTGAATCTAGCAGTTATTTATTTAGTTGTACTAAACCTATATAAAACCGATTTATGAACATGATAAACATTTTCTATATCACCTTATATAATTTAAATTTCTTATGTTAAAAATACACATATCAAATAAATACGAATTGTTACATGTACTTAAAACATATCATAAAAATTATCAAACATATCATTGTTTTTTTAATCAATATAGATTATAATTTATATATTTGTATACTACAAGTAAACTATACCAAATAATTTCTATTTTATTTAAATTTCTATTAACCATTAACTAAAAGTTTTTTTTATTTATGATTGAGTTTACAGTTGAAAAAGTGTTTTTTTAAATATTGTGGTAATCATACAAACCTCCTACGTACTTGCCTATCATGGCATACGAGACACGTTACCAACCTAGTCGTATAAACCAACTAGTTTAGGTAATTTTTGTTTAATAATTCTAATAGATTACATAATTAAAGATAAAATTTCTGAAATAAGATAATTTACAATAATTAAATTTTCTATTTACATATATTATGTTTAAATTTAAAACACATTTAATAGTTTATTTTATAATGGTAAATTACATATTACTTCTACAGAATTAGATAAAATTTTATAAAATAAAAAAATGATTTTTTTTATACAAATTTATAATTACCCAATAAATTATTCACAGAATAATTTCTGGTAACTTATAGTTACATATTGTACTTAAATCATAAGCTAAGTAACATTGTATTTAGGTAAAATGTTTCAGTTCATCCCTTGAAATTTTATTTTTTTTTAATGGAATCATGTACTTATAATTATTATTTTTATTTTATAGTGTTGGAATTTTTTATTAAACTTAATTCGTTTATCAGTTAGAACATTATTAAGTGTCATTTTTTTAAGTGAAAATCATGTATAACATTTAAGGGATTACAAATACAAGTAGCTAATTGATTCTTCATGACGTCGCTATTCACAGGTACACAATGGTCATTGCCTATTAAAAAAACTGTTTAGTGATAATATTAAGGTTGTATTAAGACAAAATGTTACAACTGAAGGGTTATGAATAAACATACAGTTCTTTCAAAAATATTAAACATTTTAATTTTCTGTCGATAAGATCATAATTTACAATAAACAATGTGTACCTATGAATAGACACATCATAAACAAATTTATTAGCTAACATTTAGTATAATCCTTCGTATTTTATAAATGTATTTTAATTAAAAAATTCGAAACTTTAAAATGTTAAATTTAATAATCTCATAAAGTTATATTCAAAATTCAAACGCCATTTATTATTAAAAAAAACTTAAACTCTTTTAAATTCAAAATATATGTTAACGTAAAAAAACAAAATTGACACTCTTAAAGGGTAAAAGGGATGGAAAGTACTACATAAATAATAATTTGAAAGCAATAATTACTAAAAAATTTTTTTAATTATTTTTACTTAAATGGCTTATATATGGATCATTCTGTAGTTTAATTAATATTAAAAAGAAAAATATTACCAGAAGTCACTTGACGTACCTTTTTATTTTAATGCCTAAATAGTACAAAATATAAGAATGTTTATCATTTTATTATTGTTGTCACTTAGTATTACCTTTCAAACACAAAACATAAAATTTATATTTGAAGAAAATAATCAGTAGGAATCAAACTCAGAATATTTATTTTTTATCTCAACAATAATGTCACTTATTAAGCTAACCATAATAAATTACATTAAAACAAACAAATAATATTTTGAAACACTCCAAAATCTTAATTTTTTTTAGATTATAAATTAGCTAAATTTTGGAAGTAGAAATGTTAGTACAATTATTATTAAATTGAATTATTTAAGTTTACGCATTAATTATATGGTATTGAATAGAATTTCTCTTATTGTTATCTCTATTTTACCAAAAAACAATTTGCTTAATTATTTTTTTTGGCAACATTAAGCTTAACTATTGTGTACAATGATTTTTAACATATTTTAACTACTTTAAGGTAATATTGTTAACGCATGAATTTAACTAAAACATATCAATATTTGAAATTAAAATTTTTAAAAATACATATCATTTTATTGTGAATGAAATATTTAGATGAGATTAATTTTATATTTAAAATCTTTATATCTACTTTATTGACAATGTTTTTAATACAACGTATATAAAAACTAAAACATTGAGAAAATTAATTATATAAAACTATAAAATTTATACATTTGTATAAATCAAAGAATAAGTTGGAAAATTCTTAAGTATTTCAAGATTATTTTAAATTTAAAGTTTGATAAATAAATCAATACTTAAATAATTTAAAATTGTAAATAATTCTTTAAAATCTTTATGGGTCTCTTTTGAGAATATTCAATCCTACTTATCTTTGATTCAATAAGTTTTTAACATTCATATAACTTTTAACTTTAACATGCATAATATGCATTACATATGTTTTTAATTAAACTAATTAATACGTTTTTGTCAAACGTCTGTTTATTGAAGAAAAATATTATTTTTCAGTTAAACTTTTTAATAATAAGAATACTGTGTATTTTGTCTTTTTTTATATATATATATTTGATTACTAATTTTTTAATTTTGTTGATACAATGTTTATCAAAATGATAAATAGTTAATATATATGTAGCTCTTGTTTAATATTAAATTATACATCTAATAATTTGATTAGTTTATGTACTTTCCGAACAAACATTTTGCGTTGGAAATTTTATTATATATTATAATTTGATTGGTCTAACATGCAAAAGATAAAAATTCGTATTATTTAAAAATATTAATTAAATATTTACATCTTCATTTTTGAATACTATATTAGATATTACTAACAATATATAAATTCTATTCAATTTAAATTTTTCTCATGTCTCTAAACAATAATTAATATATTCTCGGAGATAATTCTTATTCTTCTCAGAAAAATAAAATTAGTTTTATCATAGTAAATTCTGTTTAAGAAATTAATATTTTTAATATCTATTTTACGTCCAAATAATACAATTTATTGTATTTGTGATTGTTATTATAATTTTATGTATCATATTTTAGTCATTTTCTGTATTTATTAAAAAGCTTAGTTCTTTTTTGAAGTCTTCAATAGAATTGTGTAGCACGCGTGTCTGGGTAAACAACTTAAGTGTAAAAACCATTATACTCTTTTATGGTTTGATTTTTAAATTTAATATTGTTCGGACCAAATAACTGGTATGTCACTATGAGTGTATAGATTTTTTTCCCAATTTTTTCTATTACCTAGTATTAAAAATTGTATTGATACCTATTGTTATTTTTGTTAAAAATTTGTTGATATAAAAAAATATATGTGGTATAATCACACTCCGTTTTGGTGGAGTGTAAAAAAAAAATACTTTGTTTTTATTTACATATAACTTTTATTATAATATAAATGACACGTGTTTTTTTCTTAAAATAATCATAAATAAACACAAAGGTAGGAACATAAATTTCAAAAATTAATATTTTATATTACACATTTTGCTTAAATAGTTAAAATACTCTTATTATTTTCTATCATAAATAAATTTCCTCTAAATGGTAATTTTTTTATCCATAAATCTATATATGTATATATATAATGTAATAATTTAGTAAATTTATATTACGATCTAACTTTTTTAAATATTTTGTATATCTTTAATTTTCTCGGGCAAAAAAGTAAAACACATCAATTGGTATGTTTTTCAGTGCGCGACTAAATCTTACTTAGAATGAACAGACGATTTTGGAAAGAACGTTATTCTTTCTGTCTCGAAGGGTTGCTTAATGTTCACACAAAAAGCGACAACGCAACGGAACAAAACATACGTCATGCGTATACGCACCTGGTGAGGAGTTGGATCTCTCAGGCGCGTACGCAAAAGTCTTCATATTATTATTAATAATAAATAAATAAATAAAGTCATAACAGCATGAGTGGGCTGCGAAATTACTCGGTAATTGTTTTACGATCGTAATAAAACGCACAAATATTATTATGTTTGGAGAGGACTTTGGGTAGGAGGAAATAAAACTTCTACGGCCGACCCGTTTGATGAACACAAAAAAAATAAATAAATTAGTAAATTATAAATAAATTAAAAAAAACATCAGCAAGGGCTAAAGGTACGTGTACAATCAAACGGGTAGGTCGCTGGGCAAGTTTTCTATAGTCATGAACCATTTATACAAAAAACAAAATAAATAAATAATATAACTAATAATTTGTTTTGTTTTAAAACAAAATGAGGCTGTGCTGCTTAAATACTGCTCCGTTTTCAAAAGTCGTCCAGAGTATCATCGATCAACGATGACAAAAGTAATATATCAATACAATTTTTTATTCCTTATTTTGATCTGAAAAATAATAAATACAAATTTTATTTTTACGCATAAGCAAATCGTGATTATTTCATCAGTTGTTAAGTTTTTCGAATATAATCATAAATTAATATTGATGGCTTTGAGTACACATTTTAAAAAGTCAATTTTTTCAAAATGTATATTTCTCAAATATAAATATTTAACTTATAATTGAAATGTCTAGTTGCAAAAGAACATGTGTAAAATTGAATTATTTTTTTGGCATACGTCCTTTTGCAATTGGACAACTCATTTAAGATACCGTTTAATGGGGCTACTTTGACCTAAAATAGATATGTCCAATATAGTATTTACAATGAAATAATTGAAATTTAATGGAGTATAAAATACTTGGACATAGTATGTGGTAAAGTTGCACTGACATATTATTTTCTCTACTTTTTTTAAGTACTTTTATTTAACTGCAATGTTATATTTAAATTTCAAAGTTGCTTTATATTATGGTAATCCAATTTTTATATTTAAAAAAAAAAAAGTAGAGAAAAATATTTCATATATTTTAATTCTTTAAATAGTAATTTTATCTATGAGTCCATAAGGGTACAAAATATTCTACTCAGATTTAACTTAACCATTACGTTTCATTAAAACATTTAAATTAAGTGTAATAATTGTTCGAACAAAAATTAAGCGTTTCAAATAAATTACAGTTGCAATAATACTGACCATATCAATCAAACGGTCAATTGAGTGCACGGCATGTTGCCGCAAATGTTTAAATGTATAAAAACAATGACTAGCAATAACAAATAAGTGGTCTCTACACGAGGCAAATGAGATGGTATGGGTCAGTATGTGTGGCATCCGGTCATAGTCCTCCAATCCGGGAGTGAAACTCCTAGGCGGCGACAATTGTGCGCGTACGCAGTCATCGCCTCGCAATAACACTTCCTACCGGTAGGACATTCGCACATGTCAGTCAGACAAGACCTGCAAATGAAATTAATGAGCTTTGTTAAATCCAAATCAAAAAATTTGTCTACAGGACAATAGAATACGATGACTAACAAGGGAATAATTACGCTAAACTAAAATTGTTCAGGTACACTTACTTGAAAAAGTTAACTGGATTTAGCTTTTTGTGACACGCAGCAAACATACGTTGTCGGAGAGGCTTACACATACGTTCTCGAATCCTAGGTCCTTTCCTGGAACACGGGGACGCTTGTGATATCGCTGGTTTCAACGACCGGCTACATGCGTTCTTTCCGCCAACGCGCCACGACGATCCGAACACTTGAGGATCCAAAACTATTTGGCCGTCCTTAGTGGTCATGTCATCCCTTGGCACGGAATTAAAGTTACCGCACAATCCACACAAACTGCCTAATAACCGGTTAAGAAAATCACGAAAAAGTCAAAAAAATTATTTATGTGTTGATTTTAGTAATTTGAACATAGATGTATTTACCTTTATATCTGAATGGTACTGAAACTTCAAGGAAACCTCGTCCGTCCCAAATAATTGAAACTCCTATTCTAGTTTCCACCAACACAGTATCGTTCATGTTTGATATTGTAAGTTCATTGCTCCTTTTGTAAGGTACACTCACTCTCTGACCGTTGATTTTGATTCGTTTGTTTTCGCCGAGATTGACTTTTAAACCTCCGGTCTGTAAATAAATATTGAACGTTAATAAAAAGTTTCAATCGAAAATATGCATAATTTCGAATACTCCGATAAAAAAACACAGCACAGTGGTGACGTGGCATAGTTGGATCAAGTATAATGATATCTGACAGTGATTAAAATCATTATCAAAAAAAAACGCTTCGATGCAAATCTTTAGATAGTGTTTAATTTTAAAAAATTGGTGGATTATTCCAAAAGCTTCATAAACTGCTAGTTCCTTATTAATATCCTGATTAAGATAAAGTATGTCGAATGAAAAAGGGATTATTAAAAAATAGTATTTCCCATAAAAAAATTATATTGATCAATACACTTTTCAATAAGTTATAGCATTATAAAGTTAAAAATGTAAAAAATAAAATTGACAATTTTCACACAATAATAGCATTTGGTAGCCATTTTTACCGTGAAGACAAAATAAAGTCCGAAATTTTTTTTTTCATAATAAAGTACATTACATTAGCTTTAATTTAAGATATATAAAAGTGTCAGACTTTCCGGAACACTTTCAAAATTTAAGTTGAAAAATTAAATTTTTTGTGAAAAAGTGNTTTAATTTAAGATATATAAAAGTGTCAGACTTTCCGGAACACTTTCAAAAGTCAAGTTGAAAAAGTAAATTTTTTGTAAAAAAAGTTGTCATTTTAAATCCCCCCTTTGTGGGCAGGTAAAGGGTCAGATTTATAAAAAATATATACCAAATGATAGGTAAAGACATTATGCATCTACAAAAAAAAAAGAATTATATTGATATGTTTATTTTTAAAAAAGTTACGGCAATTTTTAGTAAAAAAAATTGAAAAAATTTCGAAAATTAGCCATTTTTAAATTTGTAATTTTTTCGGAGGTTTCCCCCATTTACGGGGAACGAGGGAATTTTTTTCAATTTTTGAGGGTAATGTCTTCGACTAAATACGATTTGTGATCTTTTAACGTATCATTGAAAGAAATCGGTTCGATGAGAGCTGAGAAAAAGTGGTAACAGACACAAAAAAATAAAAAATAAAAAAAAAACACATTTTAGTAAAACCAATACCTTTTCAGCTTCGCATCGAAGCTAAAATAACTAATAATTATTACAATTGTTTTCAAAATACATACCCTCAATGATATTGTTTTTGTCCATGCCGAATGTTTAGTACTTCTTGCGTCATTAGTTACACGAATACTAAACGATTTTCCAATGCAATCAGCACTCAACAAATACTTGCACGGCCCTTGGAAGCTAAAGAATTTTCCATCGTAGGTTCTGTAATGTGGGTCACCAAATACTGTGCAAACGCCATCCACTAAGAATATTATAATATTAGTAACTGAGGCTTTATGAATTATACCACATTTATGTATGGTATTTGAATTAAATTACTTAAATACTTACTATGCACACATTCAGAACAACATGAGCCTGGGACAGTCCGACGCTTCATATTTGCTGGACAAGATGATGTTATCGGAGGACAAATTTCTTGGGCGCATTGTACTTGTCCACGAACACAAACACACGATTTGCATTCATCTACTTTCCAGCTTTCACCATTCTGTCATAATTTAAATTCATATTAATAATGAAAGATGTACTTTCATACGCGATTAGATGATCAAGAATAAAAACTTTATATTTACCAAATAAATTTTTCCGTTGTCTTTGCACGTATCACCTTTATCTAAAGTGTCAGGGCACTGTGAACAGCATTTATTGTGAGAAGAAAAAATTTGTTTTTCAACTGGACAATCTAATGGTGGACAAGTTTCTCGCTTGCAAATTACTGTTGAATTGGTACACATACATTGTGTACAACGATCTGGATGAGTTTCTTGTCCAGAGGGTGTAATTTTATCACCTAACAAGCACGCTCCTCTTGGTGGATCCATCAACTTTCTGCTTTTACCTAAAATTTAACCACATTAATATTAATTTATCTTATAGCATTTACAATTGATAGTTAAAATCTGATAGAAATCGGGCAAGTTTAACTTCGTGAAATATTTGAGACACAATTGAAATATTATTTTTAATTAATTCTAAGTGTTTAAATTAAAATTTGATTTTGTAAATTATATTAGATCTTCTAACATTCCAAAGACACGAGTTTGAAGGTATATTGAACATCCGAACTCAAAAAAATTCATAAAACTTATGTTTCAATACAAATCTCTTAACAAATATCGATAAAAAAGTTAAAAAAAAAATAAGCTTAGAGAAACTTTTCCGAACTTTCATGAGTCTTGAAAGTTTTGGTATTCATTAGTGTAAAAATAGATTGCACTTACCCACACATCTAGGACAGCATTCACCCGGTAAAATCTGCATGCTGTTTGATGGACATTGGAGCACAGGGCACGCCTTTTTTGAACATGTAAGTGTTGGACCAGCCGCGGATTGCTCGCAGTGACAGGTAAGACATGGGTCGTCATATAAGCTGACGTTCCTCAATGCGGCCACTTCTTGTCCGATAACTTGGCAACCTATAGCACACAAACCGGTTACAGCAATCGCATAGATTAATATCTAACAATTTTACACCATCTCGCATTATTAGGATAACGCAGTATGTTGATCGGATAATCAAGAACGAGAGTTAATACTAAAAATTTGAGTGTTTCAAATATTAGATAATACCTTATGATGGTCAAAAACTCCTTAGAATATTTAGTTATACAAAATATAAGCTAAAAGATTGATCAATACAACCGTGAAATTGTATTAATAATGTAGATAAATGTAGACGTTTTTAGTAAATTTCACTTTAAATTAAAAAATATTATTTATTTATAAAGACAACTTAAAATAAAATTATTTAACTACGAATTAACGATTAAATTATTAATAAATCGCATTAAAAATATTTTTTTGTTTTTAATCGGTGATTGAAGTAGTATTTTTAATCAATTAGAAGTAGTGGTTGTAAATAAGGATCACCACTTCTCGTATTTTCGCTATATTATTAGTATGGTGCATTAATGTCTTAAAGTAAAATGGGTTCTTAGATAGTCATCGTTTAATGATAAACAATCAACAGTAAACAATGATGGGAACCGTTTTTGTAGTCTTCTTTCTTTATCCTCTTCACTAAATTTGCACCCCAGAGTTTTTTCTTCAACCATTCTGTTTCTTTAGACTCTACCTTGACCACCATCATTACCTTCTTGCCTACCATCTGCGGTACTCCAATAGAACGATGGAATGCCCGTTTTATATGCCACAAGCACACTACTAAACACGCGCACGTCGCTTCGTTTTCCATGGAGAACGCGATGACTCTGAAGCATATTTCAATGTGTGTGGTATCCAGTCTTTGTACAACCATTAGGCTATCTTTGTGTTGGTCATCCACTCCCTACCCTCCCTGGTGCGTTCGTAATCTTTTATTTGTTTTAGACTGAGTAATAAATAATAGGCACAGTGGTACCGCCCATTGGTTCACCGTCATCGTAAATACATAAAGTCTAATAAACCCATAAGGTAAAAATTATTCGGTTTTGATGACCTTCCGCTGACTTCATGCAAGCTTCATAACAAACTACATAAATGGACTGCACACTCACATTGTTCTATCAATACTCAACTCGACAAATACATGATAAATATTATAAAATAATGAATACTTGCGACCAGTTGAAAAACTCAAAGCACACGACTATACTATTATATATATATATATATATATGTTATATATTATAACAATATTATTAAAATAATATTGTTATGAAAACTTTAATATTTTAGTGAAAAAATTCATTTTATTTTTAAATTATTTATTTTCAACAATTTCAATTAATTTCGTAGTATAACAGTTAATTATTAGTGTTATTCAGAGATTCAGTAATTAAGGAAACATGTTAATTGTTACAAACAATGAGAACAATAGATACCCGTTTACTACATCCTACATATTTTAAGTAACTAAAAATTGTATCTTTATTCTAGCGAAGCACTTTTNACTAAAAATTGTATCTATATTCTAGCGAAGCACTTTTAAGTGATTTTGTAACAATTAGACATACAATTTTGCTCATCGATTTATCAAGTAGCAATCCAATAATTTTTTGTCTTTTATAGCTATTGTTGATTAGATGCTCATAAAATATTCCAATATAGTTACTATAAAGTATATAATACATAGTCTAAAAATCTATAGACTGCGCGTACAGCTTATAACCGGTAGTCGAGTTCAAAACAGACCATTTAATATGTTTATGTTGCGCACAATGTTCACTGCCGGTGGTCCTGCCATACATCTTTTTATCCGTTTGATTCGGTTATGTATCTCCTCGACAACTACTAATATTTCGTTTTACCCGTTCCATGTTTAGCTTCACGATCATCATCATTATAATAATATATTAAAACGGCCATCTATTGTGTTTTCGTTTTATATATATATATAAGTGTTATTGTTTTAGTTTTGATTTTAACATAACACCAGTGAAGGGAATACCCGACGGCCTTATTTCCCACGAGTCGCTTGGCGCATCAGCACAGGGTCGTGATTTAATATAAGTGCGCCATAACAATAAATATTCTTCGGAGATGAGTTACTACAAAAGGGACTGAATATTAACCTTCAGATGTTTTCATTTTACTACAATCTTATTTGGAATTTGAGTGATAGGAAAAATTCAAAATGATACCAATCAGATAAACTAAATTATTTTTTATTGAAATTTTTCTAACCGAAACCCAATTATGAAAGATTCAAGATAACGTAAAATTTGTCTTTTTAGAAATGAGATTTTGTAATAGACCATTGAATTAGCTCTATACATACCTGGACAAGTGGGACAACAAGTGCCCGGTTTAGGTGGATGTGGGTTAGCGCACGGTGTTATACATTGCATTCGAGTCTCTGTGACTACACCCGCTTTACATGACATCAACATACATGGGTCGTCTGGATCAGTCCATTCCGTACCACTATCCCTGAGAATACCTTTGTACATGCACCCTAAAAAAGAAAATACAAGATAAACAAAAACGTACGGATATTACAAAGTGTAATTTCAGTCAAAGTACCTTTACAACGACGACAACAGCCTTTGGTGTCGACAAAAACATCTTGTAACATATAGCATCCCTGTTCGTCTGGACATTGATCCTTTACACATTCAACAAATCCATTCTGAAATTACAAAATTCAAAATTAAACCTCTACACTAGCAACTGAATTTATATTTAACTGCATTTAAATTAGAATAGTTTAATATTTCAATTCAATGGTAGATTTACAAAGAAAAAAACTTGTATTCAATATGATCTTTTTATCTTCTAATGCTAGTATGTCTTAATGATCTATAGATATTTCCGTGATCATTTCTTTGCACAAAATGATTAAAATTTCAATACAACTACTATAACATATATAACTAATCAATATTTGGACGCCGAAAGGCACGATTCCTTTATTGGTCATAAAATTACCATAATGGTTTAATGTTTGCAATAGATCATTAAGGTTCATTTGTTGTGTTACCAGTAAAAATGATACATATTATGTGTCGTATTTATTATAAAGTGAAATAAGCGTGGGACTATTGCTATCGCACCAAGAAAACTATCTTGTAAACATCATGTTAATTAACAACGTATTATATAAACGACAATGTTTTCATTGCGAATGATTTACATTATAGCCAGTATAATAATGTACATAGTAATTCAAAATTAATCGTACCATTTATTATTTTGTTTCCTCGATCGTTTGAATGAACGTTCAATAATATTTTGCGTTTTATATTAATACTGTTTAGTATCCTTCAGAGGAGGGGAAATAAAGCCAAAGCCGACCTTGGGTCTAAAACAAAACACTCTATCTGGTATCCTTAAGTGTTGCAAACACCGGTGCGCCACCTTAACCGGTGAAAGGATTCTGGGATGCATTTAAAAAACATAAATTTACCGGCAATCGCACGTGATGCATACGATTCCTGTGTTGATATTACTCGTAAATGTCAGAGATGGAAAATATGGCACGCGCTGATGAGCGACCTGCCGTTATTATAATATATAAATATTATTATTATTCCATCTCACGCACTAAACCGAACGCGCGTAATTCCGGTAGCTCCGTTCCTCTGTACACCTTTCTACCTAAGTATTTCACGTTTTTTTTTTTTTTTTTTTATCTCTTCTAATCTTTCAGCCGCATTGGTCTCGTGCTCGTGCATACGCATGTGCATAATAAAGAAATAATTCCGGTTCTCGGCAGTACGATACACTTGTATGAAAAAGAAACAATTTCGATCCACCGACGGCGTGAGCGACCGACGAGCTCTTCCACGGCCGTAGTTGGATACCGATAGAGAAAAATAACCAGAATTAAACATTATTTCGATTGTAATAAGAGCGAGTGTGGAAGGGGTGAAGGGATACGCGCGCGTGCTATAAATCACGAGTAATCAGGCGCCGCCGGTGCGTTAGTCGTTTTTTATATCCATTGAAAGCCAGTGTATAATTGAAGCCATATAGGTTAAGCTGGCAATATAAATTTTACTGGAGCGTAATTTGAGCGTAGTGACCATCGGCGGTTGCGTGTAATGAATTCAGCGGAGATGACAACAGAATGAGATACAAACGTCTGAGACCAACGTAAAGTAATTTACACGGACGGAGAGATGAATTTCGCTTACAAATAATTTATTTTTCTTTTCTTTTTTTTTAACTCAAACTGGTTCCATACAAATAACTGCGCGTAGCCAGAGCAAATTTTTTATAGGATCACCAAAAACCCGTTCGGCACGACGTGTGGATTTTCCCGCATTTTTTTATTCAATCTGTATTTGTTCCGATTTCCAAACTACTATATTCGATTTTTTTAAACCAAAAGCTTAAAACTTACTTCGATTTCATTGATGAGTATTTTATTTTATTTTTTTTGTTTTATGGCGTGTCAATCAAATGAAAACAAGTATAACACCCAGTGTATTATAACATGTGTTTTGAATACGCATCAGAGATTTTTAAATAGGTGAGAAAATGTGTTAAGAGAGATCTAACTTCTCAATAGCTTTCATTGAGATGGCAGTATGAAAAAATATCGTCGTAATTTATTGTTACCGATGACCGTCGATTATTAAAGTTGTTATGAAAGTAACTTGAATCGTTACTCGAGTTGAAAATAACGACGATTTATCATAGTCAAAGGGTAAGAAAAGGACGATGATCAATATCCTATACACTATGTTATCGACACTGGCTTAATATGAAAGGGTAAAATGTCAAACAATTGAATGTCAAAACTTTAAACAAAGAATTTCTACTAAGAGGCGTTTCTTGCACGAGGAAGATTATATTTGTATGCTTATAGTACGTGGATCACTTGTTTAAATTGAACAATGTGGTCTACTGTTATTTAAAAAGTTTTAAATCTAATTTTCAAACACTTATTAATAAGCACTACTTGTCATGGACGGATCTACCACATTTTGTTTCAATTATTCAATTCAACTCGGGTATTTCAAACTTCAAAAATAAATTATTTAATCATTGTTTAGTTGATTGCGGGTACACCAAATTTTTCTGCTTGTTGTCTACTTCAATTCATTTTTAAATTAAAATATTATTGAACTCACCTCAGCTTTTATATCAGAGTCACTAAAAGTTTAAGGAATGTCATGTCATAATTAAACTATAAAATTGTGGTTTAAAAGGTAAACGTTTACAACTTTTTTTACTGTCTTCTACTCACTCTTTATGGAAAAAATGTGTGAAAGAATTACTAAAAGACTAAAAGTAATCGAAGGAATAGTTTTTAGTCAACATGGAAAATCGGTAAATGATTATAATTCTACAACGTTAACCATTAGGTACCTGATCCAAATTGAAACATATAAATTTATATGTAGTTTTAAATTAAATATAGCTTTTAATGCTTAATTATTAAGCATTGAATGTTATATCGTCTAACTGGTATTCGACGCAACTGTCAATTAAAAGCAAAAGTAGAAAATTATATAATTTTAAGTAGAGTTATAACCCCCTGCTATCAATTTTATTGATGTTTTGCATATTTACATTTTACATTTTATTTCTGTTGTTTTATTAATTTTGTTGTGCCACCGTAAACAGATAAAATATTTAGAATCAAGTAAATAATTAACCTCGAAGATGACATTAAAAATATGTAATACATAATATAACATTTCTAATGATTTTTTTTATTCGACAAACTCATAAAAATTAAACGGGTTCAAGTCTCAACCTTGGAATTTTAAGAGTCTTAAAAAATGTCCTTAAATTATTTTAAGTGATAACTAAACTATGCATGAATAAATCGACAATTATTCAATGGTACATTGTCTCTCGATCATTCCGCTTCGAAAATAAGAATTGTTAATTTATTATTTTTATTCACAATTAATTAACACGTATAATATTTCAAGAGTCTAGACTTTAAATTCTACTTAACACTTTCACTTTAAAGCGGTGTGTTCAAGTACAAGTGTTGTGTATCTGAGTCTGGTTGACGGAAGTTTTCTACATTTTAATTATTTAATTTGTGTAATACGCAACAACGCAATTGCTCTTCATACCAAGCCAACAAATAAGTAAATAATTCCATTTGAAAACTAATCTGGTGATTAATAAGCTTATGCGATTCTTCAATTGAGTATCAGTAAATCATAATAATGATTACACGTTTCATACTACGAGAACTGTTATTGCTGATTTAATGCAATTATACAACACATTTGGTAAACAAGCAACTGCGTTATTATTAAAAAAATAGGATCTCATGCCTAGGAAACACTATTGAGATATTAATAAGAATTGTATTATTCTGAAAAGATATAACATATTGAAATTGTTAAAATTTATAAAATACAAAAAATAAACAAATAGTCTCTTATCACCTGTAGCTACTATTTATACATGAACATAATATGATAAATTGATAAAGAGTCTAGCTAGTCGTTTATTAAATGCTAACTAACATTGCTTCTTATGAATATTTTTCAATAAAGACAAGTTTTTTCTTTATGATAAACAACTGTTTTAAATGTATTGGAATAGAAACTTCATAGAAAATCGTTAATATTCTATACCGTAAGTTTTTAAAAACATAAATAGAATACAGAAAGAGTTACAATTTCAGATCCAACTATGAAAGAACGTATTGAACGTTTTAAAAACGCATTATACAAATTTATATTTCCATTATAAATCTATGGTAAACAAATATTGGTTACGTTGAAACCGAACAATAAAAATTGTAATGAGCGCATATTGGCTTGAGATCGACCTGGTGGCAAAGCGACGGCGTTGACGACAGTAGACGGATTCCAGGCAGGTTACAAGCTGTTTATCCGCGAGTGCTTTGGGCAAGGTAGTCGTTGGTAACCCAGTTTTTCAGACAAGTGCTGAGAACTTTCACCGACTCACTGTACACTAGTGTGTTTACCGTTGGCGTACGATTGATTTTTATGAATATAAATAGTAGCGCTAGTGGTAATAATAATAATAATAATAATAATAATGGTATACTTAAACTATTTTCAAACATATCAGGCAAACAACAATAGATGTCTAATCATATTATAATGTATGGCATACGTAATAGTCCAAACAATGGTAATATTATTGCGGACACACTTACTTTACACATGCAAGTGTAGCACATCATGTTCTTGATTGTGAGCACATTGACAATCTCTCCTTCGTTTACACAACTTTCTGCATAGCCTGCAAAAAAACAGAAATTACTTTTTAATATTTGCTTTGAATACTTTACGAACTATGAATTGTGTTTTCACATTATTATTGCTAGGTGATTTTTGCTAAATTAACTGACTGCAACAGCGTAATGAAGCGGACAAAAACTACCATCACTAGTCGTCTGACTAATTACACAAGTTCACACTAATACCAGAGATTCACGGACAATGCAGATGTATTTTCAGCAAATGCACACAGTTGTCTATTAGAGACTATATTATATGATAAATGCAATAAAATACGACATACGTTAAAAATCGGTGTGTGTGTGTGTGTGTGTGTGCATTGAAGTTTTATTTCACACACGACCGGTGTCATGCAGTTCGTATACAACGAAAATAAATGTATACACTCATCAGCCAATAAAATGCTGGCACAAGTCTTCGGAACTCTGGTCAGTGTACGTCTAATAATCTGCAAACAATCTTCCCTTGTAGTGTAAGTGAAAAAACCGTTATTTATGTGCATTTTGGCTCGTCTGTAACTAACTCATTCACCCTGGGCTGGAAGCTTGGCAACAAACGAGGCCGATTAAAAAAAAAAAACCTACAGTAATATTTTGATGTATATAAAATTATAAACTTAATACGCCCAGAAAACCATGTTGAAATAATCGATAATTACACTGAGGTATTACACGAAAGTATAATTACTACAACGACAGCACTGCGCGTTGAAAAATTTAATATTTCGTTTGTGCACGTCGTTAGAGGATAAATTATCGCATAGGAATAAAAAGTTTTTGGACTGATTACATTAAACATGTATATTATACACTTTATAATGTACTTAAAAATAGTTTATACTCATTTGAATATTCATAATTCTCCTTTGAGATTCAGTACGCCTATTTTTAACGCGTACCTTTTGTTTCTTATGTTTTAGCAAAGTACGGTTTAAACCGGACAGTCGATACATATATAATATATTTATGCGTAAATAAATATATTGTGTATACGTCAGATTCTATATAAATATTGAAATTAAAAATGCTAAAGCTGTTATATGTAAACAGGAAAACTAGTAACTTCTGTCTTAATCTACACATTAAACGTATAGATACAAAAGCGTTTACAATATTAACCGACATTTGGTTAATATTAGATGGTCATTTAAATAAAATGATATCAAACACGGAAGACGTCATAAGAATACTTGTGTATAGTTTTATTTTTTTTACAAAAAAAAAAAGTAATAAAATTTAAAAGATCGGTAAGGTTATGATGAGGATACAATCGCCGTCCGTGTATGTAAAATGCTCAAGGCTTACCTTAATGGATCGATCGTTAGGAAGGAAACTTGCGATTTATTCGCGTATAAAATAGAAATTTATCGAATTCGTGATGCGTATTGACGTGATCAGTGATTTATGAAAAATGATTTCTCGCCCAAAGCCATTGGAGTGCAAGTAATCGCGCAGTGGATGTACCGATTGGTCCAACGGCTTCTGTAATTCAATAGCGAAAAGGCCACATGATAATGAGTTGGGCATTTACGAGAAATTTTTTTCACTACGTTACCACACAATTTTAAGCAAGTAATCGTCGAATGTTGTGTCGTCCGACGGGATAATATTATTTGACGCCCAGTGGTATACGCACCTATAATCGTTTATCAAACTTGTAATAAAAATTCGGTATGTCCTATCATCGAATAGTATTTTATTTTTTTTTTTTTTTTTGTGCACATATTTCCGAGCAATATTTTATGAAGGTAATATAATTTAAATAGCAAATAAAATTATACTGGACAACCGTCAGAAAAATTATCTTATTTTCCCGTACAAGAAACTCGACCCGTACACGAATGTACAACACATGAATTTATAGCTACCATAAACTATTAACGTTATTTATAATTCATAAGCCAATAATATTTATGCGTTTTCTATTAATTTTTTTTTTTTTATTGACAGTACAAATCTTAGACGCCGCGGAAATAGTGTAAAAATATATTTTCGATAATTAACGTCACTTATACCAATTGATGGCCGAGTCATATGATGTATTCATTTATTTGCTTCGTCCGAATTACAGAGAAACGACGAATGTTGCATTTTATTGTTCAGCGCTTTTTAACCAGTAATGATTATGCACTGTCGCAACTATTGAAATAATTGTATCATCATGTTTGGTGGGCAATAAGGACTCGAGCACACCCACATCGCGAATTGATTCTGAATAATGTGACCACCAATGACCTACAGGCGATTATCTCAATTGTTTGAAAACGCAGCAAATTTACTTGGTGTGATTTATAAACTGGCGAGTGGAAGAACTGCGACAAAATAATTTAAATAAAAACATAATGCCAAGTGGTTTAGCTGACCGGCTCCCATGTGGTTACCAGCAGAAGGGTTGGCGTTTAATTCCCATTGTTTTACCTCACGCGGAGTGTATCAACCCGACGCACATAATTCATTTATCACGCGACACAAAAAACGAAAACTCACTCGAGTTTGTGTGTTTTTCAATTTTCGTTTTTTATTATTATTGTTATCCTTTGTTGAGCCGTCGTCGGTTGGGTGCGCGGGGTACACACGGGCGGCTGTCGCTCCGGCGGTGGTCTTAGGACGTTGCGGCGCGGCGTCCAGTTATGGCCGATCTCGGGGGGTTATCACTTAATTCGTTTTTGCTGCTACCGCCGCCGCCGCCGCCATGTCAAACCCATCGCGATGACTTTATATGACCGCCGGTGCGGTACACATAATAACACGGGACGTCGACTGGAAAAATCGGGACGCATCGTTATTAATGAGTACTTACCTCCGCCGCCCAGTCCAAGTTTCTTTTTTGTGTCTCGACAAACGGCCACCGGCGCGCAATCGTGTAGGTATTTTTATATTTATTATTTTGAGAAGAACAAACAAAGCGCACGCTAATCATTGGAGAACAACGAGAAAATACGCCGAACGGGGTCCGCTAACGTGCACGTTCGCCGATTTTTCGGGAGGGGGACAGTGACGGCCTCCCACGTGAACAGGTGGAATTTCGACGTTTTCCAATCCAATTAGGAGGTAAAAAACGACGGTGGGAGATGCCGCCACCGCGGGAGGTAGATTATCTCGTGTGTAATATCGTGAGCGTTGCGCCCCGAAGAGGTTTTTTCTCTCCGTTTCCCGAGTCTATTTAACATTTTTTATCCGAAATTAGTACATTACATAGAATCGATTCGCCTGATTACCCTCGATTACACAGCAATCCAAAACGTTTGGCCCAGACGTACGACGTGACCGTGTATTATCATATCCAATGTTATGTCGACCGCATAATTAAAGGGTAAACAACTTTTAAATAAATACACACATTGTGCATTTATACGGCACGATGTGTAACTCGATTTATCATGATCGATAACTACCTTTTCAGTCGTTGAAAACTACGGACAGAAATGTTAACAGTCAAAACGATGATTAATTGAACAGAATCAATTACTGTAGAAATCTAATTTTAGATTATCATAAAACTAGTGATGCTATTAAAATACCGTCAATTAATTGTTTACTACAATAACAAGAAGCACGTTACTCAAAAATTTACCGTTTTAAAAAATTCGTTAATTTTTCGTTATTTATAGTGGTTGTATTGTACGCTGGTAATCGGTTTGAAAACAATCGTTTAATTTGAAATTAATCAATAAGAATTTGATATTCCGTTACCATTACAAATACCATATACTTAATTATTAATCTATTGTTTGGGAGAGACGAAAATATTTATTAACAATACAATTATCGGCGAACAATTTATTAATTACACTGATAAAACGATTTTCAAGTTCAAAAATGTGTAATGTAGCAATTGATTTCCCAACGATAGCGTGGTTTAATAGTTAATATTGATTTCGACAGCAAGTCGAATCACTTTGAGACCACATAGTCTCAGACCGTCCAATTACACTGAAAAGCTTATTTTGTTAGTCTTACCGTGACACGTGTACACGGATTTGCGACAATCGTGATTGATGTCTCGAAAAAACTTAAGGAGTATTACTATACAGCAGTAGTGTACCATTAGTTTGTATACTTTCGACCGAGCAAATACATAATATTAGCATTACACTATCAATAGCAAAATTCAAACTACGGCTGTCGACATAACGCTGGCGGAAAGCACAAAAAAGTCGTGACAAATATGGTAATGAGAAGTAATTTCGTTGTATTTCAGAGTTAATCCATTGAGATGAGCAACATGTGGACTGATGCGAACAACACCCAAATCGATTTCTTAGGAACACCATGATTTGATTAATCGAAAATACTTCCTATACAGCAAGGCCGGACGTCAACTTCCTGAATGGATATATCTGCCTGGAAAATTAAGAGTTGCCGCACAATGGCGTACCCTTAATGCAGTGGTGCCGTAATAAAATATTTTTGATAATTAGTATTGAATGAAATCGATTTCTTCATTCTAACAAAGGCACACGTACAAACACTCGCTTGATATATGTTGTTATTTGACCTGATTTATAAAAAATAATACTTTGTTCTCGCGTAGAATCAATTATGACCAACTATCCATTTTTTCATATACTATTATAGCCGTCGTCGGCACGAATTCCTTTTAATTATTTAGACCATTATTTATGATTACATGTATATAATATTTTTTTCTTATATATATATATATATATAACATTTATATTTTTTGTTTTTCGGTACCTCGTCCTTATCGCATTGAAAGAGCGTCGTAATAACAGTAATAACCGAATGGAATCCTAACACAATTGGATGTCAGTAAACCTAATGGTCTGACCGCACGAGCAATAGGCAAAAACATAATTATAACCTTTTATCAGTTATTTTCATTATAGATTTCAATAAAACTTTGCAGCATTAGTAGTACTATGGCACACATAACTCCCATTATGTATAATCTTTAGTCGAGACAAATCGATGATTACTATGCGCTATAAAAAATAAAATCAGGTGCTCGTAATTTCATCAAAAACCACTTTAAAACGTA